GGTGGAACGAGGCACTTAGTACTCTCCGCGCTAGTTGTCTCAGAGCCAGAAGACGTGTTCAGAGAGCAAGAACGGAAGCAGACAGAGAGGAACGAAGAGAAGTGTTTCGAGCGGCCAGGGCCGCTTTTAAACGAGTGATAAAGCAGAGCAAGTCGAACTGTTTTAAGGAGCTGTGTCGAGACACTGATGCCAACCCCTGGGGCGACGCATACCGAGTCGTGATGGCGAAGATCAGAGGTCCAACGATGCCCGCTGAAATGTGCCCAGAGAAGCTGAAAGTCATCGTGGAAGGACTTTTCCCGAAGCACGACCCAACCACCTGGCCACCTACACCGTACGGAGAAGGAGAGGGAGATAACGTTGAAGTCACCAACGAGGAGCTCGTAGCAGTGGCGAAAGGATTGAAGGTGAAGAAAGCTCCCGGTCCTGATGGAATCCCCAACGTAGCGTTGAAAGCGGCGATCCAGTCATCTCCGGACATGTTCAGGATGGTGCTGCAGAAATGCCTGAACGAGGGTCACTTCCCTGACAGGTGGAAAATACAGAAGCTAGTGTTGCTGCCGAAACCAGGAAAACCGCCGGGGGATCCAGCATCATACATGCCTATATGCCTGCTGGACACACTCGGAAAACTCTTGGAGAGGATCATCCTAAACAGGCTGACGAAATACACGGAGAGTGAGCACGAATTGTCGGAGAGGCAGTTCGGATTCCGGAAAGGGAGATCGACGGTGGATGCAATTCGGACAGTGGTCGAGAGAGCTGAGAAGGCGTCCAAACAGAAGCGAAGAGGAGAGCGATATTGCGCCGTGATAACAATCGACATCAAGAATGCGTTCAACATCGCCAGCTGGGAGGCCATCGCCGAAGCACTGCATAGAATGAGGGTCCCTGACTACCTGTGCAGGATCCTGAGGAGTTATTTCCAGAACCGGGTTCTGGTCTACGAGACAGACATAGGACAGAGATCGATTAGGATTACAGCGGGAGTTCCACAAGGCTCCATCCTTGGTCCAACGCTCTGGAACGGGATGTACAACGGCGTGCTAACGCTGAAACTGCCCAAAGGAGTTGAGATCGTTGGCTTTGCGGACGACGTCGTCTTGACGGTAACAGGCGAGACACTGGAAGAGGTGGAAGTGTTGTCAACCGAGGCAATCGACATGATTGGTAACTGGATGCAAGGAGCGAAGCTGCAGATAGCCCACCACAAAACGGAAGTGTTATTGGTCAGTAACTGTAAAGCGGTACAGCGGGCAGAAATCACCGTCGGGGAGCACACCATAGCCTTGAAGCGTGTGTTAAAATAGCTGGGAGTGATGATCGATGACCGGCTAAACTTCAACAGCCACGTCGAATATGCTTGTGAGAAGGCTTCGAAGGCCATCAACGCGATAGCTAGAATCATGCCGAACAACGCTGGTCCCAGCAGTAGCAAGAGGCGTCTTCTGGCCAGCGTGTCATCATCGATACTGAGATATGGAGGTCCAGCCTGGGTTCCAGCGCTGGAAACGAAGCAGAACCAAAGGAAACTGAGCAGTACGTTCCGGCTCATGGCCATGCGAATCGTGAGTGCGTACAGAACCATCTCGTCGGAAGCAGTATGCGTTATCGCAAGTATGATCCCTATCGGCATCACCCTGGCGAGGGACAGCGAGTGCTACAGGCGGAGAGAAGCCGGAAGAGTACGGAAAGTTGTGAGAGTTGAGTCATTGGCTTAGTGGCAACAGGAGTGGAACACGACGGAGAACGGTAGATGGACACATAGACTAATACCGATTCTTTCGACCTGGGTGAACAGAAAACACGGAGAAGTCAATTTCCACCTAACGCAGTTCCTGTCTGGTCACGGCTGCTTCAGGACATACCTGCATCGGTTCGGACACGCAGCGTCCCCCCTCTGTCCGGAGTGTGGCAACGTCGATAAAACGCCGGAGCATGTGGTCTTCGACTGTCCAAGGTTTGAGGCAGTGCGAAGGGAGATGCCCGTCCTCAACGTGGAGAATGTCGTCGTTGAAATGTGTCGAGAGGAGGGCACTTGGAATGCCGTCAGCAGGGCAGTCACGCAGATTATGTTGGAGCTGCAGTGTAAATGGAGAGAAGAGCAGCGATCTAGCAACGCCAGCTAGCGCTGAGAGTACGACAAGTGCATGAGCACAGCCACCCCCCGAAGTAGTCGCACACACGCACACACTGATACACAAACACATCATGACATTAGACAAGAAAACATCCAGACATTAAAACTGACGTACGAATGAGAAGAATACATAAACAAAGACAGACTAGCGATTACCGAAGCATAAAGATTTTCAAGAAGATTATGATTAATCAAGATTGTGAATCCGGTGTTTAATTGGTCAACATAGACTAATCCGTCCGGCATCGTAGTCACTTGAAAAATTTTCTCATCAATCCCAATTATTCCAATCTTATGGGGATAAAAAAAATAGAGTTTACATCGTTAGTAAATCTATTTTTCATAAATATATTCTGCATATTTTTGCTCTAGTGTAAAGGTTATTATCATTGTGAAAAAACACATCCTAACCAATGCTGTTAGAATTGATTTCGAGAGTTATCAATGCCTCTACACCAGGGGTTCCATTTAGTGCTCATTTCGTATTGAAAATATTGTTTTTTTTTTTTCTGGCCATTTAACGCAAACTTTAGTATGTTTTTTTCCTTTTCATTGTACTACTATTGTATCACTTTCACTTTCACTGATTCATTATTCACTTGCACTATTTACTATATAACAGATATGTATTTCGTTTACTTACTAGTTGCAATCTTATTCTGTGGCTATGTTGTCGTTCGGTATGTTTGTTATGTACGTACTACTACCTACATAACAAACATCCCGAACGACAAACAACATACCTGAAAACACACATCTATTCACACTACCTACACACGTTTATAAGGAATAGAAGTCATACTTTTTCTTTAAGTCTATGACTAGATACTAAAGAAGTTTGCAAGTAGTAAACGAAATACGTATCTGAAATTATTTTTTTTTAAGTGTTAGTGAAAGTAAGTAGCGAATAGTGAATTAGTGAAAGCAATTCAAAAGTAGTAGAATTAAATGAAAAAAAACAACGTAGGCTCATCAATCAATTTAGATGGTTTGTAAGTTATTGAGGTTAAACGCTGGTTGGGAACTCATTTTGTGAATAGTGTAAAACATTTTTTAAATATGAGCGATGAATGGACAACACACGGTAGTTTGACCTTACACTACTTTCATATATTGTCTGGCAATCAAATAACTTATTATACATAATTCAGTTTGTCAAAATATCGTGCTTATTATTATGTTATGGCCAATTTAGAGCATCTTGTTTCACATAGCAGTTTTGCAGTAATGAAGATTAAAAGATTTTGCTTTAAAGAATGATTCATTCATTTGTATTGATGTAAAACTAGCAGTGATGGCATACTCATTAGGAAATTGATATTTTTCCGCTCTCATACCCGAGATGGAGCAAAATAACATGCTGGATATTGATTTTACTAGCTCTTTTGATATTTTGAGACTATTCACAGCCCCTTAGCGGAATACTAAATCCTGCTTATAATGCCTTGCAAATTCCTGGATACTGGGACCATTCCAAGAAGGAAATCCTGTTGGCCATTTTTGTCTTTTTGGTCAAATATAACCAAATGAAATCATAAAAAAAACAAGAAATATAAAATCCTGAGTATTGAAATGAACCTATCCCCAAAACTTCGAGAAAATCGATGTAGTAATGCTCTGATACCAACTAATTTAATTGGTTTATGAATAGCCCGGTAGCCAACGGATTAATTGAGATAGTCCAGATTCTGAAGGCCTCATAGCCTTGTCAGTAAAGGCACGATATTACCAAGCCAGAGGCGGCGGGTTCAGTCGAGGGAATTTTTCGGGTTGGAAATTTTCTCGACTTCCCTGGGCATAGAGTTTGTGTTTTCCACACAATATACAAATGCATGGTATTGACATCAACAGCCCTCATCTAATAACTGTGGAAAGGCATTTAGAACACTAAGTTGAGAGCACGCAATAAGCTAATATGCGATAAGCAATAAGCTTGAAATGCGAAAAAAGACGAAGAAGAAGAAGAGTATAATCAAATATTTAAAAAGACGAAAAAACTATAGTTAGTTATTGGAAACACATATAATATTTTTCCAATAACAAAATTAACTATAGTTGAAGATGCTAATTTCAAATAACAGACTGTAGTGGTAATTTTTATACGATAGATGGAGTAGATAGGGGTGGTGAGGGGTGTCCAAAGGGGGAGTTTGGTAAAGAGAGATGAAAAAATCGATTTGTACCTTTCTTAAAAGTTGTCCTAGCTCGCTACTCTACTATCTATATGCAATTTTCACACTGCCGTACTCTAACGGAACTATCAACTCTATACTTTCATCTACTCCATCTATAGTATAAAAATTACCACTACAGTCTGTTATTTGAAATTAGCATCTTCAACTATGTAAATCGTTGACTTCACGCAGAAGTAATACTAAAACATATAGTCAAAGTAAAATTAACTATATTTATCTGAATTTGTACATAACATACCTACATGCGATCACGTAAATTTTGTGGTGCGATTTCCAGCTAGGAGATCACATGAAAGTTATGTGAGTCTATAATAAATAAATAAAAAACAGCATCCTGCGTTGGTTTATTTGATCACTGCCACTTTAATAGTACAGGAGCTGTAATTAAAACAAATATTTTTTCCAAAACTTACAAAGTCCAATTTCCATATAAAATTTCAGATCAAAACTTTTTTTTAACTTTTTTATGGCGTGTTTGTCTCCACGATACAATATTTGCAGTAAAATCTATACAAATTTATTTCATGGTCAAAAGGATAGTTTAGTATGTCAATAAAGATTCCCCATGTATGAGATGAGACTTTGTGGGAACGACAAAGAAATGTTAAATTGCTGAAAAGTGCTGAACTCTATAATAGTTGTGAATATATTGTTTTTCTTTGCAGGTCAACGGGTTCAGTCATCTAATCAAGACCATAGAATCATTGAAAGGAGTTTTCACAGATAAAGCTGATAAAAATCAGTATCAAACGTTCTTACAACTACTATACGTTGTTTGCCAAGCACTAACAACAGCGATGCGATTTGAGCCAGCGAATGCAAAGTTTTTTCAGCAAGAGGTAAATTTGTTCATCCGTGATAGATTCAATGATACTCTGCATCTAGTATCTGCTCAACGATTAAATAGTGAAATTAAATAGTCATGGTTTCAGTCCCAAACCCACATGCGGGAAAAAATAATTTAATTTTGATGAAATTTCAATAACATTCATCGATTGTACCTATGACTTATACTATCGACATACGTGATCGTATTAATGTTGTATTGTTTTATTCTAGAATGTCGATTGCGGTACTAGATTAAATAAACATAACGGCAGTACAGACATGTCTGTGATAGGTATTATTCCCCCTACTAATAAATCCCTTCCGTGTAACTTCTATTATGCTATTATGGTGATAGCACAAACTAAATTAGTCCCATTTGCGTTCACTCTTCCTTATAGTAAGCTCTAAGCATAACATAATTTTATTTTTTTCGAGCCTCGAACAATACAAATAAATAAAATTCTCTTCTAGCAAATAACGAAGATTTTGGGGATGCTGATTGTTAATATTAAAATTGTTGTAGCAAAAACACCGTGAGATGGTTTAATTAAGGTAGTTCTGTATTATTTTCAGCTAAGCACTTCATCGTTTTGTAATGCTCTTCGCGGACTAGGATGTTTTAGTCCGACTTTGACACTTCGAAAAGAAACTCGTGTACACTTCAAGCCATCACAGGAGGCGAGTAAAAAATTTAACCAAATTTTTGCCCATAGCATTGCGGATTCAAGGTTCGATTAAATTAATAAATTAATAAAAATTTAAACAACGTTTTAATTTTTCAGTGCTGCATTACCAGATCCACTATCGCTATCTTTTGCCTGTTTTGTTTTCCGTATTCTACATAATATTGCTTTAGATAATTTCGATGGTCCTTATGCAATAAATATGTCCTCTATGACAAATTTAAATGAACCTTCAACTCGACCTGACTATAGCGACAATGTAAGTTTTTCATTAAACTGTAATTATATCAATGAACCTAAGCATGTTTAATCTCATGATTACAGGTCGGATCCATGACTGGCATTAAAGGAGTGGTAACCACACTAAACCTTGCTGTGTCAAATTTAGAACCAATCATAGTCCATCCTGGAACCGTACTTTGCATGCTGTTACTTCTTCCGTCAGTGGAAAACAGTCAACATGAAGAACTCGGCATAGCACTAGAATATTTCTTGGCAGAAGTTTTGAAAAGTCTAGTACGAAGCGAACGTAATCAGCAAATCCTGTGCGAAGTTGGTATGGCTGGTGTTCTGTTAAAAGTTTGCAGGATAGCGTTATTAGATGAGCAACATATACTCCATTTACCATTGCAATACATTTTCGAACGATTAGCAGTACAAGCTCTGCTGCCTAAGGAGTTTCGAGAATTTCTTCGCCTTGATTTTCCCATGGAAGGCAGTAGTACTGACAATCAGGCGAATGTAGCTTCGATACCTTTGACTCGAATAAAAACGTTGGTCTCAATGACGACGCCCAGGGATTTTCGTGCCCATGGTTCTCATACATTACCACCATTTGTTGAAATGGATATGAGTTCAGAAGGCTTTGGAAGCATTTTTCTACCAAGCCTGGCGCCACAGGCTACTACTGCTAATAACACTCTAGAGGTAGATGGGCAGAGCATAGGAGGCATTGGATCAGGCGATAGACAATTCCCTCCTTCGTGTGGACTAAGCTTTTCAACGTGGTTTTGTGTGGAAAAATTTAGCGATTCTCGAGTAGATCCTCACGGTATCCGTCTTCTAACACTTATACGCACAGCAAATAAGCCTCGAGAGGAAAACTACGTTTGTTTGAGTATTTTATTGTCAGCCAAAGATAAGGCTATTATAACATCAACACAGGAAATTCACATGGACCAAAGTAAGATCAGCTAAACATAGTATAATGAGTATTGTGAGTTATATAGTATCTTTATATATGGCAGATGTTGCAGAATGGGAACCTGATTGCTTAGAAGACTACAGTGCCAGAGTATGGTGCCCAGACTTACTCGTCGAAGGACAGTGGCACCATCTAGTAGTGGTGTTAAATAAAGCTGTGGGAAAAAGTGCAAGTTTTTCACTCTACATTGATGGGCACCATATGCATACACAAAAAATTCAGTATATTTCACTGTACCCTGGAAGTCACTACACTAGCAGCTCAAATCCTGCTTCTTCTGTGTTTGCCTATATTGGAACTCCACCAATCTGGAGAAGATATTCAAGACTGTGCTGGAAACAAGGCGTTTGTCATCTTATTGAGGATGTACGTATAACAATATTTCACTATTTTGTCCAGAAAATAATTCTTTCCATAATCTTACAGAAAGGATTTGCCTATAATCCTATGCTTAAAGAACAATTGTACTAAATTGTTTAGCTTTGAAAAAAGTCGAAAAGAAAACTTGAAATGTTCTAAAAATTATTTCTACTCAAGTATATATACATATATATATTTATATAAGGATGGGTCATCATTATCATTTTTTCAGAACAATGTTTTTTTGGTTCCATTTGGGGTCCCAAACAACGGTTGGTTGTAACCCGGCTTTCCGCATTGCGTTTGAAATGTGTATGGAAATTAGTATGGGAAAACCTACTTATTTGCATCTTTATTACTAGGGACCACGCATCTAAATACGTTAAAGTATAACCCAGCAAATGCCTAACAACTTTGCCAAAGGATGTATTGTTCTAGAATGCCCCTAATAAAAGTTATAGCTGTACAAAGATCACTGATTCGAATTAAATACCAAAAATCCCTTTTTCTGCCAACACTGCCGGTGTACCAATGAAAGTCAAACTCCAAACTGAAATAATTTCGAAGTTGATTATTTTATCGCTTTGGAATGTTCAGATGAAATATTTAAAAACAATAGATCTATCTCATATGCATAGTTGGAGGGGGGGGGTGTCACTCATATCAATAGAGTTTCAAACTGAAATAACTTCGGAGTTTCTTATCTTATCGATTTGGTATGTTCATATGAATTATTCAAAAACAATTTTTCAATCCCATTGGCATATTAAGAGATGAAGGGGGGGGGGGCAAATGCCTAACAACTTTGCCGCCCCCTTCACTCACATAAATGGAAGTAAAGCTTCAAACTGCAATAACTTCGGTGTTTCTGATCTTGTCAAGTTGGTATGTTCAGATGTATTCAAAAGCATGTGCTACATTTAATAGGCGTAGTTAGATATGGGGGGGAGCTTACTGTATCCTTTCCGCCCCTCACTTATATCAATGAAAGTAAACATAAAGACTAAAATAACTTCGGAGTTTCCCATCTCTCGAGTTATTTTGATGGGTTATTAAACAACATTTGATCAATCTCATAAGAGCAGTTTGAAAGCGAGTACCTCCATTCCCTTCCCTACTCTTTGGGTGCAGTATACAATGTCAGATATGTAATGATTATATTTCATTTTATTATAATCTACGATTTCTCAAGGTACTCTTTTCGATGCTGTTCCATCCCCTGAAGCAAATATTGCTGTTGAACTAGGTCTCGGGTGAATTTCTTGATAAGTCAAAAATTAGTTTCACACCTCATTCAGCCATATCGTTGACAAACATCAAGGAAGCAACTCGTTGTATCGCATTGAAATAATCTGTATCATTACTCCACTCGTTTGTCGGTTTCTGCATGAAGCCGGTCGAAATTCCGAAAAGGAATCAGCACTTTTAGAAATGACGTTTGACTTGGGAGCCCAACTGAAACGTAGCCCACTTAAAGTTAGCCCAACAAGCGTAATCTGACTGTATCTGTGTCAGAGACGAAACTGGTGAAGACAGTTTCCGTTTTCTACTATTTTTTGTTTTTGACGTACGACTACTTCTGTGTTTTCTATATGCGGGTGGCCCGAATGGCAGTTTTATATTTCAAATAAAAGCTTTACATAGAAATTTAAAATTTTCCAACTGCTAATAATTCAAACAACATTTCCTCACTGACAAATGAACGGACATTTGGATATTAAATATTTACACTACAACGTGATGGCGTCTTACACACTAAGATTGTGTTCCCGTGTTCGGTAAATTTTACCGAAATCAGAACAGCTGAACGTTCGATAAAACTTTGACCTTCATTTTAAAGTCGCACCGTAAAACGGGATATCTTTGATAATACGGGTAACTTTGATAGTATAATAAATTAAATTAAATTTTAAATTAGAAACATTGGTTCCATATTGTAGCTTAGGGTATATATATACAATGTTTATGTTAGTTTTATGATATTTTAGTTGAAACCATAATATTTTCCTATATGTTTGAACTGTTATGATAAATTAGCCTTAACTGTACTTTATTTTACGTTGTCATGACGAATTTGTTAAATTGCATTATATTGTTGTGTGTAGAATGAATTTTAGACATTATAACCCTTGCTCGTCTTGTTCCATTCTAGGCTAGATTTTCAAAACTGTATAATACATTTTTGATGCAAATATGCAGAATAATATTGAACAACAGTAGCATTATGATATTGTACAGGTAACCAATGCCGAAATAACGAAAAAGTTCATTAAACTTTCAATCTTTTAAATTTTTCGAAACTCCTAAACTTGATCCCTTTATGAAGAGTTTTGAGTGTATTGGTTTATTTCCTTTTAATTCCGTTATAATTGCTTATCTTTTGACAGATACGCGTATTTCGTCTACTACTTGCAGACTTTATCAGTGCCATGTACACCACAGTGGTGCTGTGCAAGGTTGCAAAGACTCATTTCAGCTAAAATAATGTTTTTCGGAATAATAAAACCAAAAGATGGTATGATGGCATGTTTTACTTGTAACTTACAAGAAGAGGTTACAAAGTATGCGTTGGAAACATAAAACCTGTAAATTTTGCTTTCTATGAGTCACAATCAGCGATTTGCTGATCGCTGAGTGAGTGAGTGAGTGAGTGAGTTAGTTTGTGAAAAATCGCTGACTGTGACTCTCATGAAGTGAAATAAACAGGTTTAATATGTCAAACACATTCTTTGCAACCTCTTCTTGTATCCTACCAATTCAAAATTTGAACATGGCATCTAATTATTTCATAATTTAGAAAAACATTGTTTTAGCTGAAATGAGTCTTTGCAACCTTGGTGCTGCTAGCGGCGCCGGTGGTGTAGTGGTAAGCGTGATTACCTCTCACCCCAGCAGGCCTGGGTTCAATCCCAGTCGGCGCCGCCGGGATGTTCTGAGGCATAACATCTCTGATCACGCCTTCCTTCGGAAGGGAAGTAAAGCCGTTGGTCCCCGGTTCATGAGTTGATGGGTCGATAGGTAGGGTCCAGGTGTGGGAGCTGCCTTCCTGGCGTCGGTAGCATTGGTGCTCAGCACGGAAAACAAGATCGACGGAAAACAAAACCAAGAAAAAAAAAAAAAAAAAACCTTGGTGCTGTGTACTTGACACTGATGAAGTCTGCAAGTAGTAGACGAAATATGCGTATCTGTCAAAAGATAAACAATAATAACGAAATTAAAAGGAAATAAACCAACACCCTCAAACCTATTAATTAAACAATTGGGTTCTTTAAGGGTATTGAGGTAAATGCATATTCGTAATCTGCATTAAAAATGGAACCCAAACCCAAAATTTCATCAATTTTGGCACACTGGAACTATTTTAAATAAGTACGATTACATTTGCAAACATCACCTAATTAGCGCCCCTCGGTGTCACTTTGTATTGGAGCGAGCTGTCAGTTTGTCAGTTTAGTGTCAAGCAGTGAAGTTATTATTTTGCATGATTTAAAAATCGAGATGAAAGTGCGCGGGGTTGAAAAAAATATCGCTGTGCTCAGAAAACAAAGCTCTTTCAGATGATATATAAAAACCGATATTTTTTTTCAAAATTAAAGAACCCAATTAGAGATGAACTAGCCAACGGCTAAAAATCTCTCTAATAAAGTAAAAAAAAATCTTCATTAAACTTTGTTTTATAACACCAAAACAATTATATTTTTTTGCTAGTTTTGCCAACACTACCATAAGTCATCAACCATCATAATCACTAAGTATTTTTTTTCTATACGTTTTGCAGTGTACCGCATGATAATACAGTGGTGACCCGATTTTGTCAGCCCCCGATTTTGTCTACCCCCGATTTTGTCAGCCTATATGATTCAATTAGTTTTGGTTGAGGTGGACTGTTTTGTACAGTCGTATTCGTATTTTATTGATTGTCGAGCTTAATAATGACATTTTTTGAGAATTAAATGTGCGGTGGTGGCAAGATCAAAGCATAGGGGAGGGGGGTTGAGGGGCTAGTTGAAAATTATGAGATCCTTGTCGAATGCCTTCGTCTTCCACCTCCGCTTGCTTACTTTCGTTTTCCACATTGCCGTAGGTATCCGTTGGCCAAAGCTGTACCTAATCGCCTGATGGTCACTATGAGTGTACTCCTCACACACTCTCCAGTTCATACTTGCCACTAACGACGGACTGCAGAAAGTGACGTCGATAATGGATTCCCTACCATCTTTGCGGAAGGTGCTGATGGTTCCTTCGTTGGCCAGACTGACGTCCAACTTTACCAGACCTTCCAGCAGGCTATACCCTCTTGCGTTGGTACATCTGCTTCCCCAGTCCACTGCCCAAGCATTGAAATCTTCTTCAATCACGATTGGTCTCCGTCCGGTGAGCTCCCCGGTGAGTCCATCTAGCATCTGGTGAAAACTGCTCCATTGTCCATCTCGGGGGTGCATAGCAACTACTGGTGACCTCGTCACCACTTCTTGTATGGGATACCTGCCCATAACTTGTATTGCCGCCATCCCTGTTCTATCGGCCACCCAGTTATCGTTATCGGGAGGGACTCGATACGGCTCCGCAATCATTGCAACGCCGCACTTTGTTTCCGTTGTCGACTGCCACAACAGTTGCTGTGCTGTGTCACAATGATTGAGATTTATTTGGATTATCTCCATTACTATTGGCCCGCTATCGCCTTTTTGTAAGCTGGGCACCTGAAACTTCCCGTCATATGACCGTTTCCGTCCTCCTTTCTGCAGAGCATGCACCTCGGTTGCTTCATACAGTCTTTAGCAACGTGCCCCTTCTCTCCGCATTTCCTGCACAGCTCCGATCTATCAGGGCCTTTGCAGTTTCTTGCCTGGTGACCAAAGTTCATGCACTTAAAGTATCTCTCCATTTGCTTGGTAACCCCAGGGATAGCTTTCAGGGGGCATACTGACCACCCAACCTTGACTTGTCCTGTCTTCAGCAACTCGTTAGCTGCGTCCGTCGCAAGTCGTATCGATGCCGTTTGT